CTGCCCCTCCCCCTCGATGATATTTTGTCCAATGTCATCATATATTGAAGACACATGTTACAAATACAATAAAATCAACCAAAAACCAACACTCGCTCATACGCATCCAAGCGAGATATCAAGTCCCGATAAAACTCAATTTTTCGAAGGCACCACCATTATCCACTGAATCTCGCTAATTAATCATCAGTGAAAGATTCCCATCAGTCCGTCACCGAATCAAATTAAATTAGGGTTCACATCTTCAACCAAGGGGATACGTTCGTGTATAATTTTTTAGTCTAGGCGAGGAGTATGCCTAATTAAAAAATAATTTTGCAAGATACACAAAGGATAATGTTCCCTTCCCCCCTCCCACGAATCGAGTAAACTTGGCTTTGTTTTTTGAGCATATCCATAAAAGATGCCTTAAATGATCAAACTAATGTTAAAATTTTAAAATGCTTGGATTGAGATAAAATCACTGTTTTACGTAATCATGTTTGGCGACACCTCACATGTCCCCTCTCACTGTCCTATATTTGGGATGGTTTTGACATTTCCCTTATTTTTATTCAAACAGGGGCAGTCTTCATTGTAAACACTATGTGGATGATTTGTCAGCTTTTGCCAAGTGTGAGAATAATTCCATAAGCTTTCCTAAGTTTCAGAGAGTATTTTACTTGCTTTTTTTTCCGAGTGAAAGAGTATTCACTTAAGTTTTTCAGGTGTGAGAGTATTTTCATAGTTTCCCCCAAATGTAAAGGGCATTTTTGAATTTTAAAAATGCGAGTCGCGAAATAAAAACGAGGCTTTTTCTTAACTAGTTGGATTGCACGTGCAATGCACGTGGTATTTTTTTTATTCTTTTGTTATTGATTCATTTCATTAAGATTTATTTAATTTAAACCATATATCAAGCATATGGATACATACATTGCACGTGATACATATTTAGAAACTACAAGAGTCAAAATTAGTAATGTTTTCATAATTATGCATTGAACTTATACGCAATAAACAAGATGAATGTCAATTAAAAATTATCTCACAGGAGTAATTAGAATATTCTTCATAGCGTAGAAACCTAATCAACCATATATATAAGTTGCATGTGATAAAAGTGACCACACAATAAAGAAAAAAATTAGTTGATCTTAGATGCAAATAACTAATATCCAACATCACATTAGTTCATTGGGTAAAGGAATGAAAAGAGAAGCATGAAAGAATTTTCCAAGCCACAAGTTCACTGGGAAGATAAGGCACATGTTACATGCAAAAACAAAACGTAAAAACCGCAAGCAATTGGGAAGATAAGGCACATGTTACATGCAAAAACAAAACGTAAAAACCGCAAGCAATTGATCACCAAAGTTGTCCACAGTTAGACAATCCTGGAACAATCAAACAAAACGTAAAAACCGCAAGCAATTGATCACCAAAGTTGTCCACAGTTAGACAATCCTGGAACAATCAGTTTATTGCTATGTTCCTTATCTTACAGCCACAGCAGACCTAATTTATCCTACATATAAGTTCCAATATACAGACAAAATAGCTCCCATTTTTAGGGTGCTATCAACAATTTCATCGGTAGAAAAAAGTAAAAAAATTAAAATTAAAATTGAGGAAAGGTATACCTGGCCTCTGGTGAGATTAGTGGTGACCTTAACCGGATTCAATCGACAAATCGAGCGATTTTGCGCGGGGAAAGAAGACGAACGCTTCTTCTGAACCAAATCAGAATCATATTAAAAAATTAAAAAAATCACATGCGAAGAAAGAAGACGAACGCTTCTTCTGAACCAAATCAGAATCATATTAAAAAATTAAAAAAATCACATGCGAAATCACAACCTGAAAAATAAAAGAATTCAAAATCAGAATCATATTAAAAAATTAAAAAAATCACATGCGAAATCACAACCTGAAAAATAAAAGAATTCAACTAAACTAAACTTACTTTATAGTCGCAATATAGGTGTTGTTCGTATATTTAAACTCTTGTCGCTTGAATCTGTAGAAAATCGAGAATTTGGGCAAAATTATTAGAACAAAATGAGAAGATTGAAAAACTAAAAGGGGATACGGTGAATTGAGCATAACTAAAGCTTAGATTTAGGGTTTAGTGAGGAGTGAAGACGAAGAAGAATGAATCCGCCGTTCATTAAAACTTGAGATCATATATACCAACTCAATCAAGCTAGTGTATTCCTCTCCCGAATCCCAAATTAAAGTAGTTAATTTCCCAATTCGAACAAAAAAAACTGTAAATTCAATTCAAAGGTTGAGAAATAAGAAATTGCCTGACCTCAGCGGATGACGAGGACTTGTTCGCCGCCGAGCAGTGAACAGTTCGAGAAGAAAAGTCGGCTTCTTTCTTCGATTTTGGGGAGGAAGCTGGTATTTTGTGAGTACGGATCGAATTATTAGGGTTAGGAAATGAAGAGATAAGGAAGTAGATTTGAGGAGGAGATAATGCAGCCATGGCTGTTGAGTGAGTGGAAGTTCGTGGGACGGCGAGAAGATTAACAGATGAACTCTTCGGCTTCAGCGGAGAGGAAGGCGCTTAGGTAACGGATGATCTCTTCGGCTTCGGCGGATATAGTAGGAAGGAATAACGACAGTGGAGATTAAGGCTGAGGGTATATTTAAAATAGTGTAAGGTTAATTTGGGAAGGGGAAAGTTTTTTAGGAACTGGCTCTTTTAAAGGGTAGAATAGATTTGATTGAATTGGAACTACCATCAAAATACATATCATACGAAATATGCTAACACAATGTTGTATTGCCGATGATTAGCTACCAATGATTTCACATAAATTACACATGTAGATTTTGAATTCATGCATTTGGCCAATGCACTTGATCTGTCTTCACCATATTCAATAGTAACCTCTAAGGATGTTCAAATATGCTATCAAATCCACCATCCTCTATGTAAATCTGTTGAGATTCTTATGTTGTTTTCTAATGATATGTCATTATTCAAATCATATCAAGCAATTAACTATAAACTGTCAATTTCATAAAGTCTGAAATAGAAGATGAAAATAATATGAAGATTACAAACCTCAAGAAAGTAGCTTCAATCAGCAAGAGGAGACCTCCCCTTAAGGATCAAGATCTGATTTTTATTTATAAGAACTTCTGAGTGGCATTCAGATGAAATGGGCTTGGTACCCAATGTAGTAGGAAAAGATTTCCCAATTCCATGAAAATTTAAATAATTAAACACTATATGCTAAAGTAGCAAATGAGCAAGAATTAGTTGAGATTGAATCTCACAATTTTCATGTTAACTTATCAAGAATTTTGACTCCAATCACTGAGCCAGCATATTCCTCAGATCCTCCAATTAAATACTGAACAATGAAAGTTGACACAATTAGATCTTGCAAGATATTTATCACATAATGCAGCAAAACCATAGAAAGATGTCAATCACATGAACTTACAATTTTATCGCCGACATAGGTGGAAGTCTGATAGCCTTGGGTCTCTGAAACATACCCAACAGCTTGAAATTTATCTTTGTTCCCTATGAGATACTGTGTAGCCTCTTCCCCCTATTCATAATATATTCAGGAAAAGACCTTAACATAAACTCAATCATCATATTTCTCACAACGATACAACTACGTATATTTCTCAATGATCAAACTCACCATGAAGCAGTAAACTTTCTGAAGTCAAAGTTTCGATCTCTTTACAAGAGAAAATAGAGAAAAATGCAAGTAACGCAAAGAATAAAAGCAGTAAACACGAGAACTACATGAGAAACACAACAAATATGTGACCCCTAATTTGAGCGGTTTCATGAAATCCATATACCAAATCAATTAGCATAATCAAGATAGACAATAATATTACAATGGATAGAAATAACCTGCATGTTAAGCAACATTCAGAGCTGATATCGCAGACATCTTCTTTAATTTTGATCTCCACTGTTACCACATGTTATGAGATCCAATCTCTTAAGGAACAAACAACTTGTCAATAAATTGCCCACATCCTCATCTGTAAGATATATATATCTTCAAGTAAAACAGTCTCGAGAGCAGTAAAATTGGTTATATTGAGTGCAAATTTGCTCCCTCTTAAATTCAAATGCTTCAAAAGTGAAGGTTTTCCTGCTGCAGTGGAAAAATCATTCCATCATCATCTAAAAGCTGGAAATTTAGTCTCGAGATCTTATGTGTATTCTCCCCAGAAAACAACACAAATTGCTTAACATTTGTAGTCTTCACAATGACCATATTTATTCCTGAACAGTTTGACACTTTTGCACACTGAAGATGAACCAATCCATTTATCTCTAAAATGGATGGATAAGATAGCAAAAAAGAACAATCACCAAAGGTCAATTCTTCCACAGAAAAACACAAAAAATTGTAATTAAAACTTCAAAATAATTTAGATCATCAATAATAGAACCACAAACAAAAGAAATACTTTAGACGTATGCAACCGGCCCTCAACAGGATTCCAAAATCCTGTAAAGTTTCACCATGTTAAGCATAAGCGCCATCAAGAACGTAATTACAGTTAAACCAACCAAAGACAAGGTAAATGAGAAAGGAGCCCCATGTTCAGAATACAAAACTGCCTGTCACAAATTTTGATGCAAACATACTGGTTCATAAAAAGGCACTTCAAAAGAGGCAAGGCAATCGAATTATTTCAATTGAACGGTTGCCAAAAGTTGAGATCAAGCTTCATAAACTTTAAAAACATCCTAAATAGTAGTAGAAAGATTAAATTGATATAGGCAACATATATACTTTGGTTAGAATTAGACCCTCAAGGATTCAGGTTATTGTGGTATGTTGAATGTCCTTACCTCTCTGGAATGTGGTTCCACATACCAGATTCAGGTGAATATACCACGTACCAAATCCTCAAACACAAACTGCATGAATAATTTTATAGAGAGGAAAATAATAAATGAACTGGGAAACACAAACGTGCGGCATTAGATATAGACGGTGGAGGAAACTGAAGATAAGGTGAATGAGCTGTGGCTGTAACCAAGTTAGTCGAGAATCTTGATGTTGCTGCAGAAGAGAACAATGACAATGTGGCTTGCCAATGCATTTGCCATCCCCAAGTGGGGAGAGCTTGCAATCACCATTCAGGTTGCTTCCTCTGGGCTCCTTCCTGTAATTCATTCATATGCACCATGAATCTTATCTAATTTGAACATAATTAAAGAATGAATCAGTGATGAAGTACAAGCAAGAAGATGGATGTAAATGATGACGGGTAGACATTTTTTGAATAGATGGAAAGTGCTGGAAATGATGATATTTTGAGCAACAATGGTATAAGGTTTCCAATTAACTAAAACATAGATTTTGTCGGGTGCAGGAGTAGTGCATTGTATTTACTATATTTTGGGAGTATGGATTGAAGCTTTGGTTCACCAAATTATTTCTTGAATCTTTGTAGATGACTTTCGCAAAAGTAGATAAGCCACTTAGCTTGCCATGAAGGAGTCAATAAGTTGAGCAAATTCCTAATTCTACTCAATATAAAACGTTAGCAATAAGCATTATAACAAAAACCACTTCAGATAAAAATACAATGCAAGGCAAGACACTAATAGACCTTTGAACAAAAAAAAATCTGAGGTGTATCTAACAGAACTACCTCATCAATAGGAACAAAAACCGGTACATACCTGTACATATTCCTTTCATGCAACATCTTGATCGGTTCAAGCTTGGATAGTACTGGAAGAAAAAATAAACAAAACAAATTAGAATTCAAGAGTGCAGTTACCCAGCAGAACCTAAGTCCATCCTTCCAAAGTATGTAGAAAACAGAACGAGACTAATTTCAATTAGTATGATAATGCAAATATATATATAGGAAATTGCACGGTATCACACTTTAATTTCAAAATTTTAACCCGACCTTATAAGTTATTGATTTACCAAACATATAACTACTTATATCTCCTTATAAGTTAATACTTATAAATTTTGTTGAGAATAAGTAATAAATAACTTATAATGACTCAAAAAATAAGTAGTAGTGAAACATGCTCAAAAAACAACTTATTTGTAAACAAACATCATACTTCGCTTACATGTAGATGAATTTTTTTTTTTTTGGAAAACTGTATCTTTTGCTCCCATCAAATCTGCATTTTTTTAAACAAATTATGATTGTACTTATTTTTTCCGATTATAATTTAGCATCCAAAATATAGCAAATCTAAACATACGAGAATACTTACCTATGCAGCTGTATTTCCTGTCAACCAAATTAATGTATCTTTTAATAAAGCAACTTTCACAATTTTAGATCTATATCAAATACAGACAAATCCCCTCGTAAGGAATTACCAACAGTATCGCCACTCATGCCCTCACCTCCATCCACCTACCAACCATCACTATTTTAGCAATGCAGGACTTAATTTTTCACTAAAAATAGAATAAAGATATCCAAACAAACCAAAATATCAAGTTTCTACTTTTAGAACCAACATTCATCAAACATCAAAACAGAACACTAAATTAAATGAATATTCATCTAATACCTGATCACGAGCAGCATCCTCATCGCGATCAGCTAAGGACGAAGCGACCGAAACCCCCGCAGATTTCACAGTCGACGCCACATTCGAAGCACCATTAGAGACAATCCTCAAGTAGCTCGAGAAGCTCCTCATGAATCCATTGTTCCGTCCGGATCCTTGAGGCCTCTGCCCCTCATTCCTCATCCCAAACGATCACCAACAGCGCCAACCAAGCAATCGAGACCAAACCCTAGAGATCTCCCAATATCACAAAATCTCACAATCATAACCTCAGGCTGTTTCTTTGGCTCTGTAGAATCAACAAGAAACAGTCCCGATTCAGAGTCAAGTGTCGACATCCGCCATCTCCGATCAAATCCCAAACAATCGAGCCAGAAACTAACGAAATCTAAAGAACTCGGAGCAAATTTTTAGGTTTTTTGGAAAGATCGGTTCATGAGGGAGTCGGCGAATCGGAGAGGCGACGACGAGGGGTTGAGAGGGGAGAAATGGGGATGACGTCGGTTTGGGGGGAAATAAATGAGGAAAAAAAACGGAAATCGAAAAAGCACATCGGTACCCAAACACTCCCTTGGTAATTAAATTTGGTGGAAGGGTATTTTGGGGAGGGTAAAGTTTTTTTGGAACTCCCTCTTTTAAAGGGTAGATAGATATATAGTATATATGACCTTCGAATGTGTTTAATACAATAACTGTTATGATGGCATGATCTAGGGCTGAGCATGGTTCGGTCCAAACCAAAAAAACCGACCGAACCGACCCGGAAAAATTGGTTTTATGAGTAGGGCGGTTCGGGTCGGTTTGAAACTTTTTAACCCGAACCGACCGAATATAGTGCAATACTACCCATTCTGATCTCGAACCCTACCCGACTCGTCCCCAAAGAGTCAAAGACTCAAACCCTAAACTCATTTTCTGAATCATTATGAGTTAAAAACAATATCATTATATCAGTGTTTAATATTTCATAATCTTCTACTTTGTTGATATCTTTTTTTCTTTAACCCAATTTGTTATTTGATAAGAAGTTTGATGAAGTTAGAACCGAACAAACCGAACCGAACCGCACCGAACCGACTTGCAACAGTTTGGTTCGGTTTTGAATTATAGGCGGTTCGGTTCGATTGTTCAAATTTTGGTAAAAGCCGAGCCGAGCCGACCGTTGCACACCCCTAGCATGATCAGATTAGGCGGTCAAAGAAAGGCACCAACGCATTTAGATTTGAAACGTAATCTAAGTTGAAGTAATAAATCCATTGGAACAAATAAAATTAGACCTATCATCAAAAAAAAAAAAAAAGGAAAATCATCGCTTATAAATAAATATCGTTTTCATCTAGAAAATAAATTGTTAAGAACATCAACGTTGGAAGTGCCTAACTCAATCAGCCAACTTAATCAATGAAAAAAAAATTTATTGAGAATTATACAACATATTATAAATTTTAATCTGATTTTCACATTTAACTGAATAGTAAAAAACGAAAATTTTGACCATTATTGTCTGGATACATGGTGCAATTAGGAAAGTAAATGAGCTTGTAATTTGCAGGGGAAAAAAGCGTTGCAGTCAAATTGATCGGACTCGAATTATCTCCGTTACAAAAAAGATAGCAGAGATATCACTATTTAAACACAATCGTTAATTATTTAGTGAGTGGTAATGAGCGCAATTCATGGGTGTACGGTGAGTGCTGGATTTAGAATATATCACAAACACCCACTACATAGCCAACATGAATTATATGTTTTTTTTGGTGGTGGAGAGACTCCAAATTCAAATTGACAAGAGCAGAGAGAGCGAAACCTACAAAAATAAGAAATTTAAAAAAAAAATTCCAATTTTGTCAAAAGAAGTGGGGAAATCTTCCCTATACCCAAATTGCAAATAGGAAATTTATTCAGGTCTTGCACCATTGTTTGCAACCTAACACTGAATTTGTACTGAAACACACGTCTCCTGGTAAATTTGCTACAATAATCTTTTCTCACTGCAAACCCAACAACCTAAAGCATTATGGCAGCAGTATAAAAATATATATACTGCTACTAAAAAAAATTTAAGTGAAAAAATAGTAACAAAGTAAAGTACAGATAATACAATTTAGCGTTACATTTCTAGAACACTTCACAAGCATCTTTTTCTTTTTAATTTAAATTCCCTTTTCTTTTTCGGTCTCTCCACGTTCCCCTCGCCATTAATGCAAACCCACGCCCCCTAGTCCACGCCCCCCCCCCACCTCCCCCCCCCCTATAAATTTCTTACTTCCTTTCTCCCCTCATTATTCTCATTAAACCCCCTCACTTTCTTCAACCTCCAATCTGCTCGACGAAATGTCGCATAGACGACGCCGCCACCAGAGAAGCCATCGCAGAAGCTCCATTCTCCTCCCGACGACCTGGCAAACCGTCGACGCTCCAACCGGGCCAAGTGCACCGCTACGCGAAAGCCCGCCCATCCAGCCGTCGCCGCCTGGAACCGCTGCAGCCGTCACGCGCTAGAGCCAGCAGCAAGCGCCGGCGCACGCATGGCAAACGAGGCCGCGTGCGCAAGAAATCGGAAGAGCTAAGCTGAGATCGTGAGAGATGATGTCGCGGTGTTGTTTTAGTGCGTGTTGGTGTTGTATGAATGTTGGATGATCAATGAAGGCATTTTATTATAATTTTTTGGAGTTGTTGTCGTGATATTTTGGGCATTTGCGTTGATTTTTGGTTGGTATTGTTTTTCTTCTACTTTAGGTTAAAATTATTGCAAGGTTGACCTAACAGGGCTAAACGATATTCTTAAAAAAATGAATTTCAAAAAATATATCGAGTTTTAAGGAGTTTTCATAAAAATGCCATAAACTAGTCGGATTAAGAAAGTGTCGTATAACACAGCACCTTACTTGGACGGTTGGAAGGTTCTAATATGATTCCTACGGTCTCGAGCTCGACTCTGTGCTGGGTTATTAAAAGAACATATAATAATGGACAGACATTGATTATGGTGTAAATAGTTATTGTCGGGGAAAGCCACGATTTCAAGTATGAGATTTTTTTTGGGTTGGCAAAAGAGGTAAAAGTTTATATCACAACAGTCAACAGTCAATTAGTTGTTAATAGGACTTATTTAAACTTTTTAGATATTTGATTTTCGAGCTTTTGCTAGAGGGACCCAAAATATAGAACCAACGGAGGGGACATATGAGGTGTCCTCCTTTTACTGCATAATGAGCTGGTTATCATTAATGATGATCAGCTTATTATGCAATATGAGGGGGACACCTTATTTGTCCCCCTATTAGTTCTATATTTAGGATACTTGGGGAATTTTTCTTGATTTTGTGACAATAGCCTCGTCTATTATGCACACAAATGTGCCTTCGAGTAGGAAAATGAAAAATTAAAGATTAAGAAGCTGCGGACCCGACGTTATAAAAATACGAGTGAGCGTTCTAAACGCGTAACAGTTGTTAGAACGTTTAAAGGGTTTAAAACGTATAAACTATGTTCTCCCTATAGTAGTCGTTATCAGAAGCGTTTAAAAAAGAAATTGAATGAACGATAATATATCCATCCAAAATATTATGACAAAAAATAGGATGTTGAAAAGTCTCCATGGATCTTTAACTCGATGGTAGAGAATGAAATAAAATTTACTTTAAGATCGGAATTTTTTGTACGTCATATGATTATATTCTCAAATATCTAGAATAATATCTCCTCAACCAAAATAAAAACCATTGAAATTGCTCGTAAAGTTTTTTCTTTAGTATTAAATGCGTCGTGTTTGTAGTTTTACACCAAAAAATTCACACCAAAGCCAATATCTACTATATAACAGAAGAGCTTCGCTACAGGGACCCAAAATATGGGACCAATAGGGGGGACAAGTGAGGTGTCCCCCTCCTATTGGATAATGAGTTGGTCATCATTAATGATGGCCAACTCATTATCCAATAGGAGGGGGACACCTCACTTGTCCCCCCTTTTGGTCCCATATTTTGGGTCCTTGAGAAATTTTTCATAACAGAAATAGCGAGGATAGACAAAAAAAAAATAGATGAGAGGTGGATATTTCATCCGTTGCTATTGTAGTCGGAAGGGCAGAATTGTAATTTTGTAGGAGGTACTTCTTTTCATTCTTGTGCTTCCTCTCTTTTCTTTTCTCTGGAACATTTTATAACATAACATGAACAAATCACTAATGCTCACTAACTAAATATCTATTAGTTTGTATATTATAAAAGATACATATAAAATAATTAAGTTCCTTTTCAAAAGATGATAAAAATAAATATAAAAAAACAACAATTAAAATTTTAATATATTCCAGTATAAATATTATCAACAGTGAATACTCTTCTAAGTAATTGAATATAATAACTTGAAGAGAAAAATAAGGGGAAAAAAATACTCTTCTAGATAACATTATCTAAGAAATTTACATTTTTTATGTCAAAATTAGGTTGTAGTATTTTGGGCCAACTTTGAAGAGCTAAGGGTCCTTTAATTTCATTGATGGTTGATTCCCTCATAGGAAGAGAGTCATGCATATATGTAACACGTTAGAGGACGGGAGTTGAGTTCTTCAGTGGTTTCTTAGACGATCAAGTTAGTTATGATTCGAAGAGGAGAAAGGAACTGATATAATTATCTAAATGTGCAAAAATTGCATACATTTTGGACAATAAATGATGTGCCTATTTATACCGAGTTGACGAGGTATTTATAATTTTGGTGGACTCTATGAAGTCGGCTTAGTCACCCGATACCTTTACAGGTGTCAGCATTAGGGGTGGGGGGTGGTTTGGTTTGAGTCACCCTCGTGATTAACGCGACAGTGACAGAGGGTTCAAGGTGCTGACGTGGTCCGATGAGTCATTTAGACTTTAATTGTAGTGCAATGATGATTTCGACCGTGCATTTAATATAATTGTGACAGGCTATCGTAGCTAGGTTTGAGAAGGAGTGCCTTTCGCCTCGGTTCTTTGAGAGAGGCCAAGTGAGGACGCCTTTCGACTCAGCTCCTCGTGAGAGAGTCCATGTGAGTTGGTGTATAGTTATTTGAGACACGTGTCAATTTTTGGAGTGAGATTTATACTTGATGAATTATACTACACAACAATATCATTGCTCAATCGTAGGCAATTTCATAAAAGGTAAATAAAAATATAGCTATTGTATCACATAAATTGCTAAGTATAAACGTTATTCGAGAAAGTGACACTTGTCTCGATCAATTGGATAACAACCTAACCCTAGCTTTATGAAGCCTGGCTTGAAAGGCGTCTTCGCTCGTCCTCGTCCAAAAGGATCGAGACGAAAGACATCCTCACTCGAGCCGTCACAAATATTCGAGGCATCTTCACTCAGCAGGCCGAGTCGAAAGGTGTATTCACTCGACCAGTCGACCTCTCTCGAAGGACCGAGATGAAAGACGTCCCCTTCAAATTTAGCAATGATAGCCACTCACTACCGCATTAAATGCATAGTTCAAAGCTACCATTACGCCTCTCCTGGAGTCATAATGACTCATCGAACTATGTTAACGCTGCAACCCCTCTATCGCTACCACAATGAATACATGGATGACTCGGATCACCCGCTGTCTACACCCGTAAAGTATCAGCTAACCAAGTTTACTGCCTTGACTCGGACAAAGTTACGTAAATGACCATACAGATCTAGTATAAATAGGCACATTATCTACTGCATGAAGGTATGAAAATTTGGGCACACATAAGAGAATTTTTTTTTTCTCCCATTGAGATCACAACTAACTTGATCTTTAGAAGAACTACCGGAGAACCCAAACATGTTGCTTGTGTGCATGGTTCTTTTCCACTCTGGAAACTGCTATTAAAGGAGATTAACGGACTCTAAGTTCCTCATAACCAATACCAAATCCTACTACTTAACTTCTTACGACAACAATAGCATACCTCATAAAAAGGTTTATGATACTCCAGGATATTAAATTGATATTTTTGTGTGAAAAATTAGAAAAAATAAATTTTAATTTCTATGGCACTCGTGCAATAATGCTGGTGTAAATATAAACGTTCGTAGACAATAAAAGAAAATGTTATGGACTGACATGTAAAATGACATTTATTCCCCTCACGCGTCGTCGTGGTCAAATACAATTGGCTGAATGTTTGCTTTTTAGCGGGGCCCATGTAGGATGCACCGCCGGAGCATTTTAACTAACGAGAACCTCCCCCTTTTTGCTCCTTATATCTCTCTCGATCGTCTCCGCTTCATCAGGGGCCTTTGATATTGGAGCACCACTTTCGGTGCCCTAGATTCTCTCTCTGAAAATATCTAATCCCCCGCTCTCTACCCCCTTATCGCCGATCCTCAATCGTAGCTTCGAAAATGGTATGGATTCTTACAACTTTCGTTTGATCTTAGGGTTTGCGATCTGTTCGTGTTATTATTATTAATTTTTTTAGATTTTTGTTTGGATCGCTGGTGTACGATGTTAGATCCGTGATATAGATTAGGCGATCGATGATCGAGGCGATCCGTTTTTGTCTACTATTGAACTCGTGCGATTTGTTTGATGATCCGATCTGAACATCTTTGGATCTGTGCGATTAGTTTGATGCTCCGGAACTTTTTAAATCCGTTAATCCCCCCTGATTCAACTTCATTTACGAAATCATGGCATAGATCTGGATGTAATTTTAGCGATTTCAGTTTCGGACTGGTTTGTAGGATTCGATCCTGGATCTAGACTCGCCGTTGTTTGATTAGAGATCAAAACCTGAAAGCGCGCATATTTCCGCCTTGGTTGCTGTTGATGATAGTTTTAGTTATCTTGTTTTGATGTTGTCAGGCGAACGCAGCGTCGGGGATGGCGGTGAACGATGAATGCAAGCTGAAGTTCTTGGAGCTAAAGGCGAAGAGGACATACCGCTTCATAGTGTTCAAGATCGACGAGAAGCTGAAGCAGGTGATGGTCGAAAAGGTCGGCGAACCTGTCGCAACCTACGAGGACTTCACTGCTGCCCTCCCCGACGACGAGTGCCGATATGCGGTCTACGACTTTGACTTCGTGACCGAAGAGAACTGCCAGAAAAGCAAGATCTTTTTCATTGCATGGTAAACTTCTGCTGTACAGTTTATTTAGTTTTAGGTTGCGTTTTGGGAAGTGCAATTCGGATTTCATGCCTATATTTGAGATCAATAGATCTTAAATCTAAGATTTCAAATCCATGGTTTTAATAAATCATGTGTTTGGATACTTCGCTAGAGATGAAGGGATTTTAAATCCTACATTTCGATCTATTTGCTGATAGACTAATTATATCCAAAATCAATTAATATGTGTTTGCTTGATCCTTCCGTTGTCTTGTTCATTTTTAAACAACTTCAAAGTAATTGTCCGTTTTTCACCCCAGGTAGAATTTCCACCAATCACGGAAAGTTTGTAATTATATAAGCACAAGGAAAAAAGAATATGGGCACGTTTAGAAAGACATCATTTTGTTCTCCGTTGATATAAACAAAATGCTGAGATATGATCATACATTCATAAGAATAAAAGTGACTTTGATTCTTAATTACATACATGAACAAAGTCATTAAGGTTTCATAAAGATTATTATTAAAAGTAAAACACTCGCAAAATGTCAAGAAAAGAGGTTATTCTACATGGATAAGATTCCATCGCACAAAATAATTAAACAATACAGATAGCATGCTAAATTTAGCCACAAGCTCAAACTACAGTTTTAAAACCATTATCTTCCGAACTTGCGCCTATCAGAATTAAACCCCTAAAATTCCAATCTTGGCAAAATTATAATACTCCATATAAAAAAAATCCCTAACTTTCTCAAAATTAAACAACTCGTATCGTTGACCACAAGCATGAAGATGATGCAAGCTCTCCAAACGCCACCAACAGATTGCCTGGTATATATACAAACCTCGATTCAGAAGTCCTTGAGGATTATAAAAGATCAAGGGTGCAACACCTGAGCATGGACTTCCTCTTGAAGCCGAAGTAATTTGCTCGAGATTGAGATCGAGAGTTCAAGGCGATGGTTCGGGGCGGCGAACAGCCGGAGACAAAGGAAAGAGGGAGGATAGGTCGCCGGAGAAGAGGGGCCGGAGTCGGAGGTGAGGCGTTGGATGGAGGTAGCGATCGACTGGGTCTAGGGTTATGAGAGAGAGAGAGAGGGAATCGGGATTTTGAGGAGACAGAGATCGATGAGATGAAGGGGATTTGATTTGATGAATCATGAGGGTCAGGGTAGGATTTCAAATCCATAATATTGCGCTTCAAAATCCAACTCTACAAAATCATCTGATTTAAAATCTAAACCAAATTTAAAATCCAAACGAGATATTTGGATTTGGGCTGCCCTGGATTTCAAATCCAGGCCCAAATCCAAGATCCCAAACGTAGCCTTAGGGAAATATCAGTATTGGCTGTAATTGAAACCTTATGTCTCTATTTTGAAGGTCCCCTGATACCTCACGAGTGAGGAGCAAGATGCTTTATGCCAGTTCAAAGGACAGGTTCAAGAGGGAGTTGGACGGTATCCAAGTGGAGCTGCAAGCAACCGACCCAACTGAGATGGGTCTTGATGTCATCAGCGGCCGCGTCAAATAAGTATGTTATTTCACTCGGCAGGTCCTCCCTGCAGTTTATATGGTTGTTTTGATGGAATGTTAAGAGTCTTGTGAGATGCATGACCTACTAGATATCGCATGTGCTTGTTGATCAGCGTATTATGTCACAACTGTATTTGTGAACGAAACAAGTTTGTTTTGGCTTTCATCATGATTTGGTTTATTTTGTGAAGAGTGTCTGCTTGTAGCATGACGACGACATGCTATTCATATGTAACAGTTTTAAGGGCCTATCAGGTTAGGCGTTTTCTTTCTTTTCATTTTGCATTTGTTTCACATTGGAATTAATGCTATTATCATGGCTGGTATGAATTTGGAGTTGTAATGTATACATTGTGATCTTTGAATTTTTTTTTTTAAAAAAAAATCACTGCAAAATGTTGACCGTGCATGGTTTTTATGTTGCACTAGCTGGTTTTTAATTGTGGTAGTTTCATTCCTGGTGGATGTCGTCAATGTTAGAGATTAGATTTGATATGTTGATTTCATAATTAGAGACCGGCTGTTCTCTCGTTTGTAGCGATAATGTCATGCTGGAGTTTGAGTATGAATAGTTGGTAGAGGGATGGTGCTTGTAAACTTGCAACAGTGTCATGTTTGATTCTGTATAAAACTTCAACATTTTAGCATTTTCCAAACACTCCATTCATCAGATTGCAGATAGTATATTTTGGTGTTTAGTATTAATGTGGTGATGGTATGCATCTTTTATAGTTCAGAAAGCGGATATTATGCTCATTTCAGTAAGTTTTGAGAATTATGGACATTCTTATCTCTTAAAAGTTTTAATACGAGGAGACATGTTAAAAATTTCGAGTATTTCATTAAGAAATCATCGAATCAGACTTTCCTAAAACATAAATATCTCTCACGGATCGCTTGTCAAAATTTCAAATCATTTAATCCTCATAGGTTTGTTTTCTAGACTCCGCTTCTTTTTTAAACATTTTGGTTGAAAAACCTTCAATTTAATCAGGCAGGCAATTCCTATCAAACAAAACTAAAAGTTAAATATGTGCGCACGTACGTATGAGCGTAGTCCTCTTACTTCAATTTAATCAGGCAGGCAATTCCTATCATATTTTTTGATTAATTTTTTTGGGTTAACGATTTTTTCTGCCAGTTATTCAAATTACTTTGAGCGTAGTCCTCTTACTTCAATTTGTGTTTTATTTTATTTTATTTATTTATTGTCATATTATTACTTCATTTTCGCTGTTTTCTTTATGGTGCTTACGGCTTGACACTGTAGAAAATTTATTTCCAGCTGCTGCTTGTTTGAGAGAAGATGTTTCAACTGTTATAGTTCTTAGCGTAACGAAAACAAACCAGCAGATAGGAGACTTATGCTGGTGGGTTTTATGTGTTATGTGATTCGAAGTGTTATTCTCGTGCTTGCTGGTTGATATGAGCTTTATAATCTACGAGTGTTTATATGAAATTGGACGTGGTATGATGCCAAAGGATGCTTCTATCCTCCGAGCAGCCTTCAATGCTCCTGAAGGTGTCATGGTAGTGGTTTTTGGTGCTCCTGAAGGTTTGAAGTCAATAGTTAAGCTTGCTGGTTGATATGCGTCTTGTAAGTGATATAGGACGATTAACAGAAAATTTCGTGAAGGACTCCGACATTCACAAGCTAAATATGGATTTATACTTCCGCAAAGAAACAGTCCGGAAGACGGATTCTGTTATATTATATATGTAAATCACCTATCTCGACGAGACGTAGCCAACCGGATTGTTAGATTTTTAAAATCTCATCAGTCATGCCCAGTTTTGGCAGAAATCCAAAAATAACTAGCTTGTAGTTTATTTTTAGTAATAAAGTTAGAGTCTATTTAGATTAGGAAATAAATTCAATTTTAGAGTCAAATTTAGTTTATTTTTAGTAATAAAGTTAGAGTCTATTTAGATTAGGAAATAAATTCAATTTTAGAGTCAAATTAGATTAGGAAACAATAAAGTTAGAGTCTATTTAGATTAGGAAATAAATTCAATTTTAGAGTCAAATTAGATTAGGAAACAAATCCAGTTTTGATTCATGATTTGTTTCCTCTATTATAGGGAGTCTTTTTAGGACAGAATTTGATACTTTCTATTTTTTTTGTAATTCCAGTCTTACTAGGAGTCTTATTTGTTCTTCTATTTAAGAAGAGTCATGTAGCCCAAATGAGAATAACTTTTCATCAATAAAAGTTTTCTTTTCAATATTTTTTCGTGGATTTGAAGTTATTCGTGGATTCGGAGATCGTTTTTTGTGGATTCAGATAATATCATTGGTTGATTCCGAGGTTACTACTTTCGCGCTGCGTCAGTAAGCAACGTGTGTATGTAAGTGATCGAGCTCGGTATGAAGGACACTTTAGTTCTCTGAGAGCGTAATTCGATTTCTATTTACCTTATGTGATACTTTACCTTGTATTTCTATAGCGCTGCCTACCATTAGCATGATGACTGATGTAGAGAGCCATATTTCCTTTTGTTGACACTAGGAAGCTAGAGAGAAGAATGTATTTCATCACCAGTTCAGTTTAATTATAGGGAAAATTGTAGAATGTTAATGTCTGTAATCTATTTTCGAAAAACAAAACAAAGGAGGAGTTATTTCGCTCTTAAAATATTGAAGGTAAATATTATATAATATTCGGCGTGAAATTTGTCAGATTATAAAAATATAATTACTCCCAAAGTTTGGAGTTGTTGTGTGGTGTAAATGTCCTTTAACGTGGTGTGGTATTATAGCAACTGTCAATTTTCTGGAAAAAAATTTACACCTAGTTTGAGGGAAATTTTGTTTGGTATTGCCCTCCGGTTTAAGTTAACAAATGGATTCGAAACAATCAAATTGAACTCATGCCCTTCCGGACGTTGCGTCGAGAGTGTAACAAGTAGGAAATCACCGCAAATCACAAAGAAAACTTGCAGGAAAAATAAACGAGAAAGAACACACCAGATTTAACGAGGTTCGGCAACTTGCCTACGTCCTTAGGAGTCACACCACACAAATCTTTGATTAATTGAAGAAGATTACAATGCTCATAAATAGGTTTTTATCTTTCTGAGATCTCTCTCAAACAACCGTCAAAAACCTCTTTTTCACGTTGCATACTAACCCTAAAAACATTTTAGGTATATATAGAATCACAGCCCCAACAGATTCCTAAAACAAATTAGGAAACAGCCAAAATCGACTCCAGTCGACCGGACAAAGCTCCGCGGTCAACCGGTCAGAGAATCGATTTCCTACAGGGTTTTGGTGCACCCTTTCGATCGACCGGCATAGCCCTCACGGTCGACTGACCAGAGAGCAGATTTCTGCTCAGTTTCATGCAGGGTTTGCGGTCGACCGGACATCCTCCATCGGTCGACCGGGACTGGATTTTTCTGCTTTCTTCGTCTGTTTGATGCAGGTTTGGTCTACACACTCAAGACTAACAATCTCCCACTTGGAGATCAATCCGCCATCAACGAACTCTCCCAAACTCATGCTTTCTTCACAAGCATCGTCTTCTACCCGGAAAAATTCATTCTTCAATCATCATTATCTCAACGACCCTCCGATCCCGCTGGTGTGGCTATGCCTTCATCTTCTACGCGTGAAGGCCAACTGAAGTTGCGCACAACTTCAGTTTCTCAATGGTTACTGTTTTCATCAACATATTCGCGAGATTTTGACTCTCCAAAATCTTCTCTAGCTGTAACTTCCCGTCCTCAATCAGCGATCGTATGAAGTGGTAACATACGTCAATGTGCTTCGTTCTGGCATGATATACTGAATTATTGGTAAGGTGTATAGCGCTCTGGCTATCACAATAAAGAACTCTATTTATAAAAAAAACTGTTCTTTCTATTTAGTATCACAAACCTTTGGCGTTCTTTCATCACTCATCACTATACAAGTTGCTATGGCATCACATTCTTCATCTTACAGGCAATTTTTAGTGTGACACTATGACAAAGGTACGTTTTAGTTTATAAGATATGGTGCAGACTTGCTTGCCCAAAGTCCAAATGCAATAGGCCTTCAAGTTTTCCATCAAAGTAAGCAAACAATTTTTTTTTTTAATTTCAACATCTGAGCATGCATATAACCTTTTGCTACATATCTGAAGCTTTATTTTCCTAAAAGTAACATGTGATATAAGTTCTACATGATATATTTTATATACTTAACATGATTATAACATATATTTATTATCATTGAATTGATGTCTGTTTCACTTCATCTTCAAGGTACTATATATGTTGTTGAGTGAATTGCTACTGGAAAAAGCGTGCACAAGGATATCTCCTACGCCTCCTCCATATGAACAGTAAATGAAATCGATACTTTGCCTCTCATCTTAGCTTTCTATTTAATGTATAGCTTAGATTTATTGATAGCAGAAAAGTTTCAACTTTTTTCAGCTTTTATTGCATTTTACCTAATTGTGGATATACTTTCGTTTTGTATTCATTAATATTTTAGCTTCCTATATAGATAAATCTACCATGTTATGTTCCTGATCCCTATCATAAGGTCAAAGAGAATTGTGACAAGATAATATAAATAAGTGATTTCTATTACTCTCCTATCAAGTCCCAGATCCGAAAATGCCAGCCTTGCTGCTAATTCTTCCGTTTCCAAAGCCAGCCCTAACTCAGTTGAGTTTATCCATATTTATAGGGAATTAAGGGGTGTAACCGCCCCCTTAATTCTCTCCATAATGGGGTGTAACCGCCCCCAAATTGTGGGAAACGGTTTTAGAACCGTTCAGATCATGTTGAATGAGTCAAACAATGCCCACATTGGCGTTCAGGATCCTAACTCCACATTTTAAACTGGAGACGCGGAGTTGGGTACCCGCAGGGCGTAGAAAAACGCGAGGTTCGACCTTGGCGTTTTGATGTTGTGACGCGGGTTCGACCCTGGCGTTTTGATGTTATAACGCGGGTTCGACCTTGGCGTTTTTGATGTTGTGACGCGGGGTTCGACCCTGGCGTTTTGATGTTGAAACCGCCCCCAAATTGTGGGAAACGGTTTTAGAACCGTTCAGATCATGTTGAATGAGTCAAACAATGCCCACATTGGCGTTCAGGATCCTAACTCCACATTTTAAACTGGAGACGCGGAAGAGTCGTCAGATTGTAACTCCCGATGTTGATTGTGAAGGCTGTTGAAGTAGAGCTTCCATCAGTTGTCAGTTGTCGTGAAGGTCGTCAGATTGTAACATTCTACGCGAAAGTCTTCAGATTACAGCCTTCTGGAAGTCGTCAGATTGTAACTTCCATCATCGGTGGTTGATGGGGGATAAGCTATCTATTGTGATTTTTAGACAGCCTACAGAACCC